TAGCACTGCTTAAGATTGGTTAGCAATGTTTTGCTTCTCAAAATGTCATAATTTTCTCCTTTTATGTTGTTTGTTTTCATGATAAAACTTATTTGAGCTTTAGATTGTTGAAGGAACACTCGGTGTTCTTACAGCATCACAAATGGTAAATGACGAAGCAGACATTTCATGGTGGCAGGTTGTAATCCTGAACACTAAAGGAATACTGACAGAAAATCTTTATATTTCCATCTGCTAGATTTTGTTCCTGAGTAAGAAAATGTCAAAAGTGATTAAAAAAAACGCACAAAGTGATCAGAAGAATGCAGATAATTTCTAAACAAACTGTTCCAGTTCCATTGAAGGATGTTCAACTCTTGTGTTTAAATCCTGAACACTAGAACTGAAGGGTTGTACCTGTTTGTGCCCATGGGCCTGCTGTTGCATCAATGAGTGAAACGTTTCTTTTCGTCAGGTATGTGTTGCTAGGGGAGGCTTGCTACCCACTTCAGAGCTGGCTGATGAAGGCCTACCCTGAGGAGAGGAGCCGCAGCACACTGACGGAGCCGCAGCAGCTGTTTAACTGGCAGCTCAACCGAGCGCAGCGTGTATCTGAGGAGGCGCTGCTGAGACTGAGGGCACGCTGGCAGTGTCTGAGCAAGAGGAACGACTGCGGGCTGGACGTGGTGCCCACCATGATCCTGGCTTGCTGCATTCTGCACAACATGTGCGAGTCCCACGGAGACGCCTTTAAAGCGGACTGGCAGGTGGAGGTCTCCGAGGCAGAGAGTCCACAACCCACTCACAAGCCGCTCCTCTCGACCAGCATGGACCAAAGCAATGCTGAGGAGGTCAGAAGCCTCTTCTGTGGTTACTTCCAACTGCAAAACCATTGACCTGAAACTGCTGGATGGCTTTTATACTGACCAGTGAGCTGGAGGGGCACTAATGCTGTTGGAATCATCATCTATTTATTTATTTATTTTAATGTTGACTTTTCCATTTGTATGTTTTAAATGAGTAAACCTTCCTGAACTGCAGATCAGCCGGTTTAGCTGATGGACTTGTTTGCACAGAGCCGTAATGTATAAATGTCTTGCTGAAATAAGCAGAGCCTTTCCTGAAAAATAATAAAAATTAAAAAATAAAGTAAAACACAAATTGCTGCATGTTGTGCTCCAAATCCAATATTGTATTAATATATACAGGTGCTGGTCATAAAATTAGAATATCATGAAAAAGTTGATTTATTTCAGTTATTCCATTCAAAAAGTGAAACTTGTATATTATATTCTTTTCACACAGACTGATATATTTCAAATGTTTATTTATTTTAATGTTGATGATTATAACTGACAACTAATGAAAACCCCAAATTAAGTATCTCAGAAAATTAGAATATTGTGAAAAGGTTCAATATTGAAGACATCTGGTGCCACACTCTAATCAGCTAATTAACTCAAAACACTTGCAAAGGCCTTTAAATGGTCTCAGTCTAGTTCTGTTGGCTACACAATCATCAAGACTGCTGACTTGACAGTTGTCCAGACGACAACCTTTGACACCTTGCACAAGGAGGGCAAGACACAAAAGGTCATTGCTAAAGTGGCTGGCTGTTCACAGAGCTCTGTGTCCAAGCACATTGACAGAGAGGAGAAGGGAAGGAAAAGATGTGGTAGAAAAAAAAGTGTACAAGCAACAAAGATAACCGAACCCTGGAGAGGACTGTGAAACAAAACCCATTCCAAAATGTGGGGGAGATTCACAACAAGTGGACTGCAGCTGGAGTCGGTGCTTCAAGAACCACCACGCACAGACGTATGCAAGACAAGAGTTTCAGCTGTTGCATCCCTTGTGTCAAGCCACTCTTGAACAAGCGACAGTGTCAGAAGCGTCTCGCCTGGGACTGCTGCTGAGTGGTCCAAAGTTTTGTTCTCTGATGAAAGTAAAGTTTGTGTTTCCTTTGGAGATCAAGGTCCCAGAGTCTGGAGGAAGAGAGGAGAGGCACAGAATCCATGTTGCTTGAGGTCCAGTGTCAAGTTTCCACAGCCAGTGATGGTTTGGGGGGACATGTCTTCTGCTGGTGTTGATCCAATGTGTTTTCTGAGGTCCAAGATCAACACAGCTGTCTACCAGGAAGTTTTAGAGCACTTCCTGCTGCTGACCAACTTTATGGAGATGCAGATTTCATTTTCCAACAGGACTTGGCACCTGCACACAGTGCCAAAGCTACCAGTACCTGGTTTAAGGACCATGGTATCCCTGTTCTTAATTGGCCAGCAAACTCACCTGACCTTAACCCCATAGAAAATCTATGGAGTGATGTGAAGAGGAAGATGTGATACACCAGACCCAACAATTCAGAAGAGCTGAAGGCCACTATCAGAACAACCTGGACTCTCAGAACACCTGAGCAGTGACACAGACTGATCCACTCCATGACACAACACATTGATGCAGTAATCCAGGGAAAAGGAGCAACAACTAAGTAATGATGATGTACATGCTCATACTTTTCATGTTCATACTTTTCATGTTCAGACTTTTCAGTTGGCCAACATTTATAAAAATCCTTTTTTTATTGGTCTTAAGTAATATTCTAATTTTCTGAGATACTGAATTTGGGGTTTTCATTAGTTGTCAGATATAATCAACATTAAAAGAAATAAACATTTGAAATATATCAGTCTGTGTGTAATGAATGAATATAATATACAAGCTTCACTTTTTGAATGGAATTACTGAAATAAATCAACTTTTTCATGATATTCTCATTTTACGACCAGCACCTGTAGACTGCTTTATATTATTATCACATTTAGCATCATTATTGCCTTTTATTTTGTAGATGTGCACTAATTTACAGACAGGCCATCAAGACTTATTTGCTGAGCGTTGATCAAACGTCTGATGGTCCGTTTGTTTTTAGAACGCCTGTTCTAAGACGGAACATATTATGGTATGGCGCCCTTTGTCCGTCCACTTATTTGTCAGGACGGTTTCTTGTCTGAGCTCTAAGTTTATAACCATATAACACAGAAATGTCAAACAACTGGACGCCTCATGGGTCAAGCGTGATCCTTATTGATTTTAAGGTCACGAGTGACCCTTTTGGTAAAACCTGTCTTCCCTCGAGTAACAAAGAAACATCAACGCATTTGTCCTCTTTTCTGTCTGTCATCCATAAAACAGGACACAGTAAGTTGTCCTTGGTGTGACTCACAAACGTTTAGGATAGAAAATGTCATCAGGTTATGGATCCACATTGGATCCTATTTTTATTAAGATCATTTCCACCAAAAACGCCTTGAGTGGTACTCGTGAAGTCGATTACTCCGATCACAAAACGGTTTGGATCAACAGGTAAGTTCTTAGAGTTGTAAGTGAAAGCTGCAGCTTCTTGTTCTTTAATTAAACTGTCGATTTACACCATGACATCATAGGTAGCATTGACCTTTCACCCCAACACCATCATGCATTTACCTAATGCATACTTGTATTCAGGATTGTTGTTTCAGGGATTTGGGTGTATTGTGGGGCAGCACGGTGGCACAACTGGTAGAGCTGCTGCCTCTCAGCGAGCAGGTCCTTGGTTCAAACCCCGGTCCAGGGGCCTTTCTGGGTGGAGTTTGCATGTTCTCTCCGTGTATGCGTGGGTTTTCTCCGGGTGCTCCGGTTTCAAAAACATGCATGTTAGGCTGATTGGTAACTCTAAATTGTCCCTAGGTGTGAGTGAGAGACTGAATGGTTGTTTGTCTTGTTTGTCTCTATGTGGCCCTGTGATGGACTTGCGACCCGTCCAGGGTGTACCCCGCCCCTCGCACAGTGATTGCTGGACATGGGCACCAGCGACCCCCGTGACCCAAAATGGAATAAGCGGGTAAAGATAATGGATGGATGGATGGATGGGTGTATTGTGTACTGTTGCTGGTACTCTTGTTTGGACTGGACAGCTGTTTGCTGCCGACATCCAAAACCAGCTGCTCACATGATCAAGAAGGACCATCAGCCTAACAATGGATCGTTAGTGCCCTTGCTTGCTATTCACAGGGGGCTGAGTGATACTAGCAATAACAGCATTGTAAGAGGGGGACAGTTGAACATGGAGGCCTCTCCCCCGTTTAATGAAGGGCAGTTTCTTTACACAAAGATGGCCTCCTTTACTCCTCTCTCTCAAACCATCGTTCCTCTCTGTCCAGGATGTAAATGGTAAATGGACTGTACTTGTATAGCGACTTTCTATCTTGTGAAGACACTCAAAGCTCTTTACAACAATCTGTGTCCTCATTTACTCATTCATACAGCACTCTACTAGATCTATACAAAGCTAATTGAACAAATAATTCTAAAGAGACATCAGAGCTTTATCACATTCATACACTGTTGGGACACATCGGAGGCAATGAGGGGTTCAGTGTCTTGCCCAGGGACACTTCAGCATGTGACTGCTGGTGGATTCGAACCCCCAACTCTTGCATTGGAGGACGACTGCTCTAACCACTCTGCCACAGCCGCCCATGTGAACATCTTCATCCCTGAAAGAGTGACCTCTGGCCTGGAGATGAGTGTAGACTGCAGAGTCCTGACCTGATGATGCTGCTCTTCTGTGCTGGTTCATCCTTTTGGCTGTTTAGTTTCCCGGATGTAAGACTGATCACAGTCCTGGCCCTGAACAGCTTGCACAATATTACTCTGTACCGGGGGACTGGATTGCATTTTTTGAACGTTAGAAGTATTTTTCCAGATGGTGCAATTCCCCTCCTTGACCTCTAGATGCCGCTGCTATTAAACTACAACTCCACTTTGTAACTTGTGGATCCAAATCTGCTACATTTCTTGTTCAAAAATGCGTTTTTTTTTATCTACTTTTTAGTTTTTTTTCTTCACGTGACTTTGTTTATGTTTTAGTGAATATACAATCTGATGAATACAAAGACATCTGCACATTTATGTAATTTGGATTTTTTTTTTTTTTTTTTTTTTTTAAATCTCATCGACCATTCAGATCCCACCCTGAGACCCGCCTCGGTCATTCACTCGGTCTGGACCGAACCTGTTCGGTTCTGTCAGCCAGCTCGTCCCGCTGGGTCCACCTTGTTCTGTTTCTTTGCCAGAACAGGACAAATAAACGAATCGCCGCCGCTTCAGCACACCTGTTCTGCGTTATTTCTGCTCGTCGTAGCTTTGGATGTGCAGGCGGGGTGTACGTCGGGATGTAACGGGGGTGTTGTCCTGTTTTTGTTAGCTAGGCGGACACATCCCTTCACCCAGCCCGCCGCTTCAATCACTGCAGGCGGACACCGCATTTATTCGAGGCGCTGTTTCGCGAGCTAGCGGGTTAGCAGCTGCGTTTCGGACTAATTTAGCCGAGATTGGGCTGATGTTGGACTAAGGTTGGGGAGACGTCAGCTGTCACGGATTATTTGGATGCCGCAGGTTGACACTCGGACACTCCTGGCTCCAGTCCCCGTGGATGAATCTCGTGATTTGCGGTGAACATCCGGGTGAAGAGTCGCTGCTCCGCTCGGCTGGGGGGACAACTTGACAGCGAGGCCCCTGGATCGTCTCCCCTCCCCCAGCCGCGTCCATCCACCCATCCGTCCCACACCGGCCTGACCGCAGCCTGCACGGACCCGGAGAGAAGCTGACACCGCGAAGCTGAGGTGTTGTTCGGGTCCCGTTCGAACCGGGCTGCCGAAACCAGGGGAGGATGACTCTGGAGTCCATGATGGCTTGCTGCCTGAGCGAGGAGGCGAAGGAGTCGAAACGAATCAATGCAGAAATCGACAAACAACTCCGCCGAGACAAGCGGGACTCCAGGAGAGAACTGAAATTGCTACTGCTCGGTATGTTGCATGATGGTGTTCAGGTGTGCGTGTTTCTGTCGTGTTTGTGTCGCTGTGTGGACAGCCAGCCGTCTCGGGCCTTCGTCTTGGCATCGCTAGCAACATGCTACCAGTCCAGGCTTGTAGCCGGAGGACTGATGTCACCACGAGAAACACTCCGGGGTGGTTTTTAACATTTGCGTGAGGTGTTTAGGTCTTTTTGAGTCAAAATTACTGATTTGGCTCGTCCAGATGCGTGTCTCCGAGCACCACGGACGGAGAGCGAAACAACGGGGCCCTGGGCGCAGGTGTGTAAAAGCCCCCCCTCACTTGTTCCACCTGAAATTTAGGCAAATTAAAAACAGCCAGACACAACTATAAAATATGCAGATATTTAATTTTAATGATATATTCCGCAGAAAGTTATTTTACCCTTTTAAGCGTATCAAATTTAATACAATACTGTAATGAAGAGTATCAGATTTAAGACAATACTGTAATGAAAAGTATCAGATTTAAGACAATACTGTAA